AGAAGATCGTATGTAAAGATTGTGGAAACTGGAGTAGAATTTAGAGTTTGAAACTTGATAGATTGTGATAGATTGAACGAGTTGGTTGCAACAGAATTTTTTATTTTGTCTCCTAAAATTAAGTTCTCTTTGAAAATTTGAACAGCCCACTGAATGGAGAATGTAGATTATTGGACATGAATGTGGGGGTGAATTGGTTGCAAGAGAATTTTTGAATTTGTCTCCGATTCTCTTTGAAAATTTGAACAGCCCCAAAAAATTTAGGTTGACACATGTCTGAATGATGTTGCTTTAGTAGGAATTTTTCAGAAATTGTCATGTGTTTAATTTTCCATAAAATGAGAAATTCATTTGTTTGAATGGTGGTAGTGGATTGTCAGCTTTAACAACAATTTCTCAAAAAATATCACATCAGAAAAATGAGAATGCCACGTGTCTGAATGGTAGGGAGCTGTAATCCGAAGACCTTCTTTTAATATATATGTATATATATATACATACATACATACATACATATAGGGAATCGGTAATGTTAACTTTACATTATGGAATCAATAATATTAAATTTATATTTATTAATATTTTAAATAATTATTAAAATTTCAAGAAATATTTGTTTCAAAAAATGGTTTTTCAATAATTATTAGAATATAAATAGTTTCCTTTTGTTATGATAAGTAGAGGGTTAATGATTAATAGTGGTAGTGGATAACCACTTTTGCATTGTATTTTTTAGGAATGGATTGAAAATAGTGATAATGGGTTATGGGTTTTACTAGCAACTTCTCAGAAAATGTCACGTGTCTAGCTTTTTAGAAAAATGAAAAGGCCATGTGTCTGAACGGTGGAGGCCATGTGTCTGAAAAGGCCATGGGTTTTACTAGCAACTTTAACAAGAATTTCTCAGAAATAACCATGTGTCTAACTTTCTAGAGAATGAGAAAACTACTTATTTGAATGGTGGTAGTAGGATGTGAGCATTTTAAGAACAACTTCTCAAAAAAATGTCATGTATCTAAATTTGAAAAAAAAAAAATATATATATATATATATATATATATATATATTAGATATGGTAACTTGAAGATAGCATTTTAAGAACAACTTCTCAAAAAAATGTCATGTATCTAAATTTGAAAAAAATATATATATATATTAGATATGGTAACTTGAAGATTTTTTTAGAAAAATTGTTTGTCCCTCAACTTTAAAAAAGACTATCTATCTTATAGTCTGGATTTATCATTAAAAATCGTTTGGACCATCTGATGCATCATTATCGTTGTTATTATAATTAATAAAATTTCAATACAAAAGATATGAATGAATATGCACTTATGACTTATCCATGTTTTAAGTTTAGTTGAATGGTTCCATAAGACCTCAACTAGATTTGGGGCACTCGTTAACTTACCACGTGGCAGATATTCAAAAAAATCAGGACCCGTTGCTTTAGAGAAGCAGATATTCAAGAAGATGCATCTTTTCTTGTCTTTTCTTTTCGTTATGGCACTATCTATCGCTTGAGTGCTTTGATAGGCCAAACCGCTATTGAATAACGTAAATCCTCTTTTGTTGATTAAAAGGGCAAATATTACTATGTTCTTTTTCCAAATAAACGTGGAATGATTGGTGCACATCCCATTTTTTGACACTAGCCAATCTTACGAGTTTTAACTAATAATCATGGTTGAAATCGATTATGAATTGTTAGTTATAAGTATTTTTCATGCGAGCTATTCTTTTATAATTTTACTTGTTTAGTATTTTTGCATTGCATTTCCTTCTTGTGTTCCAATTGTATTTTGTTGACCTTCAACAGTTTTCTTGAAATTAATCTAATTCTCAAACCAATTTTGATTGTGTTCGGAACTATGACTGGTTGAACTTGAGAAAGCAGGGTACCGGAGGCGTAATTTTTATTACTGGGTGCCACATAAGATATTAGAAGTAAAACGCCCAAATGGAGAAAATGTCAAAAAGGTATTTCCTTCAGAAAGTGGTTTGAACATGATCCCATGATAAAGATGGTACAAACATTTATATTTAAATCTACCCAATCAAACATGATATAGATTTGGTAAAGTGAAAATGCCTTGCCTACATGCACTCGAGTGGAGACTCAAGTACAAATGTTGAGATTTCAATCAACAGCACTATTAAAAGGTGCCAAGTAGCTTGTTGGTAAAGTCTCTAACTGGTTGTAGTGGAGACTTAGGATTGAATTCTGCCTTCACTCATTTCTAGGATTTGGGGAAGGCTATAACCCATTCCAAAGAAGAAGTAGAAGAAAAGAAAAGAAAAAAAGAAAGCAATAACACTCGAGGTGGGTGTAAGGGACATTCTGTAAGGAGGAAATCCGGATTCAAAACCAGCCTCAGCCCATCCAGAACCTTGGACAGGCTTAAAAGAAAGTGTTTTTGCGTGGTACATTGCAGAACGGAAAAGAATGGGCACTCACCACATTATCCAACGCCCCTTGATATATGTAAATGGTGTGGATGTTCCCAGTCACATCTATTGCCAAATAAACCAAATATGTTACTGTTGAGGCTGGGCTACCCTCATGGTCTCACAGCTGAATACACCAGTGTTCAGTACAGATGGGCCCAGACTGAGCACTTACGTGTTTACTCGTGATAGGCGGATGGTTCAGCCGGGTGTGTATGATTTTGTCTCCAGTTCATCCAGATTGATTTATTCTTTGATGGCCATCATTTGCATTCTCACTAGTGCCCTTTTCTGATATCACAATTCCAAGGAAATGGTTGAGATTTAAGAACATTAAATCTCGCCTTTTAGAGTCGGATGACTCAACAAAGGACATGGCTTTCTCTTCAAAACCATTCTTCCATAAAAAGATAGTCCGATAAACTTTTGTGCTGATCAGCATGTTAAAAAACACTTAAGTTAGTTCACTGTTCTTTGTAACCTCTGTTTATCAGAGTTCGCAGGCTGTGCTCAGACCAACTGATCCAAGATCTCCATTTGAAAGTCTGGGGGAAAATTAAGATATCAGTGGACATTAGTTGAGTTCTCTAAACAATGGCTCTTTCATCTTTGAGTAGGTTTGGCAAATTGTTGTGCAAACCCACATACAATCCTCAACTAGTTGCAACATCCATCAACAGAAGCTCAAATGAAGAACCCTGGCCTGACGTTTGATTTGCAAATGAACAAAAGCATGGTACCTCTGGTTCAACACAATCTTTGTTCTGTGTCATGAACCCAACCCAATCCCTACATCGGTCTGAGATTACAATGTAAACGGACGAGATTTCGTAAGCAACCAGTTTGCTTTTCGGTCTTATTAAAGGGATATATGAGCTAATAACTCCATAGATAAGAAAGAAGATAATGCTTGCAGAAATTAAGAAAACTACCACAAGGCAACTAACCTAGATGGTTTAGCTAGCTATCAAAGCCAACATTATTGTTGACCAACATTAGAGCTTAAATAATTGAGGCGCTAGGCTAGGTTGATATCAATTATTGCTACTGATTTGTATTGACAAATAAAGGCCACACTTCACAGCTAGGAAAGACCAGGTGGGGGTCACAATGGGTTGGGAAAAGTACCTGGATTGACCTAAACACATCAGGTTGCCAATCCTGGTTCCTTAACAATTCAAGTTAGTTGTGTTCCATCCTTCACAACTAACTTGTGAGCCACGAATAACCTGAGCACACAAGAACCCAACTGATCTAGAAATATGATGGTAAAGTAAAATGTCGTCAAATGCCAAGTAGATCTCCAGTTGCTGAAGTCACACAAATCATCCACGAGAAAGAGAACTATGGATGACAAGATCATAAAGCTTGGGGTCTATGACTAACGAATATCGTGGGCGTATTGACAAATCAAGGTGCATCGTATCATAGCCAGAGTTGATTTAGGCATAGTAAACCAGCAATAGGCAGTCAAAACCGTAACCAGACCATCCAATGAGATATTAAGATTTTAGGTTGATCCACTAAAGGCAAAAGCTTCATTTGGTTCGGCTAGCCTAAGGTCAGTTCAACCAAGAGCAATTAGTCTATAATCCCCAGAACTGGTAAACAAAACAGCTGCAACACATTATAGGCTATAGTTATCAAATTTAGCAACAGTTGCATTAACCAAATAAATGCAAAAGCACCACGAATATGGCAGCGGGTCTCTTGGTGATCTGACCTTGTTCGACATTTTCCCACTGCTTTCTGGTTATGCTCCATTTTATGAGAATGAAGGTTGATCTTGGGTTACGTGTAGAGATGCACTAGGGCTACTTTGATGTTGAACATTTAGAGAGCAAGGAAGTCTGGGACGTTTGAGAATAGAGAAAGGAGTATGCAGGCAATTATTGTAATCATCAAGTTAGGGTGGCGTATCGGATGAAGACTAGGGCTTATTTTCAAACTTTACAACTGATGATGTTGTTAGAAATTGGGGTGCAGTGAAAAAAAAAATAATGGTACTTGGACATCATCAGGAAGGGGAATTGTGAAGCTAAATTTTGATTGAAGTAGTAGTCTCTGTAATCCAGGGTCACTGGAATAGGAGGTCTAAGGGATGAAAATGGGGGCATACTTGCAATGTTTTAGGACCAATAGGTGAAGGAAATTCCATTAGGGCAGAACTCTTGAAAATGTTTTTGGAGTACAAAAGGGAGAAGGGGGTGGAGAGTCTTGTAATTGAAGGAGACTCGAAAATAGTGATGAGCTGGTTGATGGAGGGTTAATGCAATGTGGATTTACAGGAATGAGATCATACGTTTCAGATGGTTCTCAAATCTCAAGGAACATCTAGATAACAATACAATGGGTATCAAGATCAGCTAATTTCTTGGGTGGTGCTCGGTACAAAATAGAAACTATTTTGAGCTCAACTATAGAATTTTAAAATGATGTGGGGAGGGATAGCAGGGGCCCTTTTGTACAGAAAGATTCTTATGATGTACACTTAATTTCCCTTCATAAATGTTTCAGTTATTCATCAAAGAGAGAGAGAGAGCTGCCTGAGATGGGTTAAAACATCCATCAATTACAGGTGAAGGATCACAGGATTTAGAAAAAATAGCTAAGCCAGAGTTTGTTCAGAAACTAGTAAATACCATTAAATACTTCTAGCAAAAAAGTTATTTTCCATTAACCATCCACTGGATAAAGAATTTGTTACCCCAAACTCTTGTGAACCATCTGATGTTATTCTTGGAGCCAGTTGACTGAATTACTTGTACCAGGGCATTCAACTTTGGCAACCACTTTTGAAGATCCAAGCATAACAGAGTCTCATCCTTACTGATTGTAGATTACCCCAAACTCATGTGAAACATCTGATGCCTGGACCCTGCCTCTGAAAGGTAGCTCCTATTCATAGAAATGGGAAAATCCCTGTACAATGAAGGTCCCTGGTGCTTAAATTCTTTTCAACAAGGTGAAAATAGGCTTAATGCGTTTTCACAAACCATGTGTTACGAAAAAACTATGGCAGAAATCAAGAAAATATGACATTGTTGCATGTAACTGAAGAGAGAATGGACATATGCATTTTTTTTATCAGTAACTGAAAACTTTTATTAAATAAGAGAAATACAAGTACAAGAAAGGGTACAAGAATGGACATATGCATTACCAAAACATGAAAACAGAGGGCATTCTAGTTGTCAACTTTATAACCCGTACTGACTGCACCAATGCCAGATACCAATAACAAAATGTCATGTTGTGTATGTGCCTTGACTTCGTGGTTGCAACCCATTCCATGGCCCAACCCGCATTGTGGAGAAAACCCCAAAGGGGAAAATCCATTGAGGTTTGTGTACAGACCCAACCCGTTTTCAAATATGCATCCTATATAATGTATTTTGCTCTCTAGGGTTTGACATCAGAAAAACAGATTGAGAGTGAGGGTTTGGGTGTAAAGGGCAATAGGGTTTTGAGAGAGGCTGTCCATACTTATACTCCAGATGTTGAATGCTGATTATAGTGGACTTATCCGAGTGCAAATCAGTCCCCCACAACGTCCCACAGCACATGCCTGCGTGTATTGGGAACATCTCCCAATGATGACATCATCATTTCTGGTATTATCATCGGGAGATGTTCCCAATAAACAGCGGGGATGTGCTGTGGAACATTGTGTGGGGCAGATTTGATCTCACCGTCCTCCTCCTCCTCCTGATGTAGGCAATGTCGAAATACCAAAATGTTTAATCATTGAGATTTGTGCTTGGTCTTTCACCTCCCAAGATTAGGAAGCACACTACATATACCTGCCATATGATCAGAGGCTCCTGATTCTTTTGAGTTTCTCTGTTTTTCATTTCTTTCTCTTTATCCATTTGCCAATTGGTTTCAGATCTTGGGTGTGTTGTTGCACAACAAGTTAGGCAAGTACATTTCAACTTTAAATGGTGACTAAACCAATAAATCAGAACTAAACAGCAATTACAATTATCATACTATTACCGCAGGGAATCACAATTGTCTTTTTTTTTTGGGAGGGGGGGTTCATCTGTATTAAGTTCATAACTCATTACCCATACGAAAGAAGACCAAAATGAGTATCAAAACAAATTAAAGAGGAAGCCCACTGTATCAGTTTCAGATTTGTAACCTAAGTCAATCTAAAAGAAGCATAAATACGATCATAGATATATGAATATATCTAATAACTGGAGATACCTGTCACTCTCCGAGTCGCACAATAATACATGAGTATTGTCTAAATTCTTGTTAATTAAAAAATAGATCATCCTTACCATAAACAGGGACTGATGCAGAGGAAATCTTCATCATGACGATGATCGCTACCTTGGTCCATTTGCTTTCCCCATTGTAACATTTCTAGAAGTTTGAATCCATCCTCCGTCTATAGATTCTATATTCCCATTCAATCCATCATCCATAAAATCGCCCACCCGTTTCACCTTAACCTCCCTTGGTGGAACAGGGTACTTCCCAGAGAAGCAAGCATAGCAATAGTTAGGAGCATCGGCTCCAAGCAAATTTCTCAAGCTCTCCAGTGGAAGGAAAGCAAGAGAATCAGACCCAATAAACTCTCTAATTTCCTCCACTTTCATCCTATTTGAAATCAACTCCTCTGAGCTTGGTGTATCTACACCGTAATAACAAGACCCAATGATTGGTGGGCTTGCAATCCTCATGTGAACCTCCTTCGCTCCAGCCTCTTTGATCAATCTAACAATCTTTGAGGACGTGGTTCCTCTTACAATTGAGTCATCCACAACCACAACCCTTTTCCCCTCCAATACCGCCCGGACAGGTGCAAGCTTGAGCTTCACCCCAAAGTCCCTGATCTTCTGTGAAGGTTCGATGAATGTCCTTCCAACGTAGTGTGACCTAATAAGCCCCTGCTGAAACGGAACTCCAGATTTCTCTGCATATCCAAGTGCAGCAACCACCCCAGAATCTGGTACAGCTATCACAACATCGCAGTCTACTGGAGCTTCAGTAGCTAGTATCTCCCCAAATGCATGCCGGGATTCGTAAACTGACCGGCCAAAGACCACAGAATTCGGTAAAGAGAAGTAAATATGCTCGAAAATGCAGGCCTTCGGCTGGGGGTGAGGCATCAAGCAAAGTGATTGAATCCCATCTTTGTCTACCACCAAAACTTCTCCGGGATTCACCTCCCGCTCGTAAGTAGCTTCAATCAGATCAAGCGCGCAGGTCTCGGAGGCAAACACAACAGCACCATTGCTCCTTCGCCCCATGACCAAAGGTCGGAATCCGAATGGGTCACGTACCGCAACAAGTTTGTCTTCTGTCAGGAAAACCATGGAGTACGCACCCTCGAGCTTCTCACAAGCATCGACGATCCTGAGAAAGAAAGGCCGGGCTTTTGATATCGCAATCAGATGGAGAACAACCTCTGTATCAGAACTAGTATTGAATATGGAACCATTGTCTTCGAGCATGGTCCGGAGGGAGCGATAATTCACCAAGTTGCCATTGTGTGCAACCCCAACAGACCCAAATCGGTAGCCAGCGACGAAGGGCTGCACGTTCTTAAGCATGGAAGCGCCGGCAGTAGAATATCGGACATGCCCAATCGCGAATTCACCAGGGAGTTGATCGAGCTTGGCTTCATTGAAGACGTCGGAAACAAGGCCGACGCCTGTAATAGATTGAAGAACGTTGTCGTGAACAGTGACGATACCGGCGCCTTCCTGGCCACGGTGTTGCAGGGCATGGAGGGCAAGATAGCAAAGCCTGGAGGCTTCAGGATCGCCATAGATACCTACAACGCCACATTCCTCTCTGGGCTTATCGTTATCATCGTAGTTGATAAAACGATCATCTGGGTCTCTTGAAGAGGAAATTATATCTGCGATGGGTTTCTTGGATGAGAGCTTAAAAGGGTTTTTATGGGTGTGAGAGGAGGCGGATTTGGAGGAAAAGGAGGGGTTTTGTAGGGTTTTAGTAGAGAGAGACAGAGGCTTCTGAGATGGGAATGGAGAGAAAAGATGAGTGTTTTCTACAGACGACGAGAAAGAAGAGAGATGGGCAGCAGCCATGGATCAAGGACAGTGATGGAGAACGAGCGATGGACGGAGAGAAAGAGAAAAACAAGACTATTGTCGAGTCCCCCGCTTCAAGCTTTGGATTGGGCAAAAGCTGAGGTGAAGTGTCCTGTGGCCTGTGGGGTTTGAACCTTGAAGGCCACTCCTACATCTGTAAATAAAAATGAGACATGCAACTCTTGGATGCCTCGCCCTACAGACATCGTGGGATCAACAGAGATGAATTTGAAGAGCCAGGGCGAGATATCTAAGAGTTGCACAAATTCGTTGCTCGTACCATATCTAAAACAGGGTTTGCGGCTTCCGGTACCATAGAAATTGCCATTTAAAGCGGATACCCGTTTTTGCCACTCGGCAGAGGACACGAAAAGATCTAAGATCTGTACCTGTATCGTATATTAAAGCAGATATTTTTTGTTCAGTATAAACACAGAAAAAAGGAAAATGATAAGCCCGATTCTAAGCCCCCCGATTAAAAACAAAAAAAAAAATCTTTTAAAATAATAAATATGCTTTTTTTTTATAGATGTGAAGAACGAATAGATATTTTACCGAATAAAAGAACGAATAGATAGGTACTATGATGACCCATCCCGATTACCAAGAAAAAATACTATCCTTTCCTATAAAAAATTTAATTTAATATCACGTGGGCCATCATCAGTTTTTACACTGCTATTAAAAAGACATAAGAAATGATTTAAAGAGTCATAATGTAGCTATTTGGTTGTGACAAAGGCTTACGACCATGACAATGATATTAGGGTCCGTTTGGTTCGCATGAATAGGGTTCAAAATTGGAATTGAAATAGACATTCAATTCCATTTCTATTTTTGATAGAATGGCATTCCCCCGTTTAAGGTAAATAGTCATTATCTTCCCCTCTCGTAATAACGAGAATTCATTCCACCTAATTTTAATTCCAGTTTGAACCAAATAAATGAAGGTAATTGACCATTGTGATTCCAATTCTAATTCTGATTTCAATTGTGAATCAAATGAACCCTCAGGCAATTAGACTTGTACATGACCAGATGGTAGGTTCGACCTGGCTCATTCTTCATTAAGTTTGGATAGATAATATATAATATGTTATTAATAATATATATATATATATAAATATATAAATTAAAACAAAGCGATCAAGAAAATTTGTCCATTTTTCTCTTTTTTTTTTGTTTTTTATTCCATGTCATTTTTGAAACAACCAATGAGATGCACTTTCCCAATAAAACCTAAATAATCTTTTCTCCTAGAATTTATCCTAAACTACCTCCCCTACTTTCTCTAGAATTATCTCTAATTCCTATTTATCTTCTAAATTATCTCTAATTTCTATTTATCTCCTAAATTATCTTTAATTTCTATTTATCTTCTCCCCTACTTTTTATCTATATCTATCTAAAGAAAGTTTGGATTAAAAAATTTAAGAATTATTTAAATATTCTAACAAAATTATATAATAACTTTAAAATATTTATAAAAACACAAAAAATAATTTTATATTTTTACAAAATATAACAATTTAAATTATGTTTTTTTCGGATTATCAACTTAAGTGCTTTTCAAATATTTAATAATATGTAATAGCTTTAAATAAATAAAATTCAAATAACAAAAAATTAAATATTTTATAGATTATTTATATATTTAAATAACTAAATATTTGTTATAAATATATTTAAATAGTTAAAATAACGAAATTATCTAATAAATTATTTTATATTTTTACAAAATATATCACGAAATTATGTACTAACAATTTAAATTATGTTTTTCTGGATCATCAATTTAAATGTTTTTCAAACATTTAATAATATTTAATAGCTTTAAATAAATAAAATTCAAATAACAAAAAAAATTAAATATTTTATAGATTATTTAAATATTTAAATAACTAGATCTTTATCATAACTAGATTTTGAATAGTTAAAATAACAAAATTATGTAATAAATTTAAAAAAATCTTTAAAGTAGAAAAATAACTCAAACATAATTCTGAAATTAATAATAATTTAATATATTACAAAATTAATAATGAAATTATGTAATAATAGTATAAATTATGATTTTATGGATAATTAAATTGCACAAATAACTAATATTTTAAAATTAAAATATTTTACATATTATTTAAGTAATTAAATAACTGGGTATTTTAAATAACAAAATATTTAACATAACTAGATTTTAAATAGGTAAAACAAAGAAATTATGTAATAAATTTAAAAAAATTCTGAAAAGAAGAAAATAATTAGAACATAATATTGAAATTAATAATAATTTAATATTTTTACATAATATTGTATATAACTAATTTCACTTATATCAAGTAATAATTTGAGAAAAAAACTTTGAAAAAATTAATATTTATTAATAATTTTTAACTCTTAATCTATATTTATTATATAATTATATATACTAAAATTAATATTTATTGTATTTCAGTAATTATTTATTATTTTTGTTTTAAATGGCTGAGGAAAAATAAAAATGAAACCCAAACGTAAGTGAAGCAGGATTTTGCATTGCAGAAAAGAACAAGCCATAGTTAATAATATGGCTGTAACTTGGGCCGGGTTAGCCCAAAAAAACAGGGTTGGGTTGAAGTTCAGGTTAGGTTTAGATTTGAAAAGTATGGACCCAACTTTAGTTTGGGTATCACTTACCCGGAAAATAGATTTTTGTGGACCCCACATAAGTATGAAAAAAGAATATGGGTATCTTGGTCAACGGGAACTAAAATCTCATTGACTAACTTCCCCCTTTCAAAATCCAAAAAATGAATTGGCCTTAAGGTGGTGTTCTTCATTGTGAATTATTTTTTCTTATTTTGAGTTTCAAAAATAAATCAAAACCATCTGATTTAAAAACAAATTGGTTCTTAAAACAAAACTACATTAAACATATTCTTGGTTATATATGTGTTATTGGTTTCCATTTTCCAAAATTAAAACCAAAACCTGTTCTTGAGTTTCTAGTTTAAAGAACAGGTTTTCATCATGTTACATAAATCATGTAGTAGTACTGTAATACAAAATTTGTTTATAGTTAAAAACATGAATTGTTTTTTGAAACTTGTATTGATTTTTCAAAGCAAAAACACAATTGAATAATGTCTTTTTGACCATTTATTTTGCGCTGATGTAATAATTTTGAAAACAAAACCTAAGGGTGTGATCAGCGACAAGATCGGTTTTGTTTTTCAGAAAAGGAAACAAAAAGAACTATCACATTTTTTACTACAAACAAAAATAAATTGTGAACAACATGAAACAAAAAAAAAAAGGAAAAACAATTTTAAAATTTAGAAGTAGCAAAAGCTGCAAAAAGATAAATTCTTCACAGAAATTGCCTATTCAAAATAAAAGCCAATTTATCTGATAGTACAGAGATCTTATTTTTTCTCTCTCCTTTGTAGGTTTTGTATAAGTTGTCAGTTGTCCAATAAATGACAAAATTGCACATCTATTTAAATCAATGTTTGGAAACCGTTACAAAGAGTAAATTGTAAGTGGTTCAGCTATATTAATTTCAACATGGTATTATTATCAAGATAACAAAATAGGAGAAATAGATAATATAGAGATAGAAAAGTAATAGGCGAAAGTATATAAAAATTATTTAATAACTCTAAGTTCAATTAGGTTACTAAGTAGTAAGTTTATATTAATATATAAGATAATGAGAATAAGAAAAGAATATTCACCCAATTATTATAATATCCCAGGGTTCAGCCGATGATTAGACTATTGTTGGGAAGAAACTAAGTTTATCCACAAACTATTTCTCTCTCAAAAATAAAAACTTGTAGATATTCAGCTATCATAATTCCAAACAAGATATCAACAAAAACAATCATAAGCCAAGCAAAGAGAGACACACGATATTTAACGTGAAAAACCCCTCCAATGTGAATGGTAAAAACCACGGGGCCAAGGAGACCCAACCAAAAATCTCCACTAATAACTTGATGTAACAATTATAGCAACTCAAACACCACAATATGCTCACAAACTTAGAGAAAATACAAATTCTCAAACATACAAACGAGAATACCAAAAGCGGTGAAAATAACAGTCAGAAAAACTCACAAACGCGGCTACTGTTCAGGCCACAACATGGAGACCTTCACTACTCCAAATCAGATCTCCACCGTTCCGATCGTAGGTCTGTGAGTTTCGAACAATCCCACCAAATTTCAGCCAAATCGAACCACAAATGACCCTTGATCAGAATAATTGATGAAGACTGCCACGAAATGTTTTCTTTTCCCGAACAATTACGAGTTGCTTCTATTCGACCTCAAATAACTGGCGATTCAGAGCTCCGATCAAAGATCCGACCGTTCAGAATGAAGAAAAATGAATCATCCACTTATTGTCCAAATTTCTGCTCGATCGGACGGTGGATCGAAAAGTTCCGGCCGTTTGATGAACTCTGCGCACTGAGAAATCTGTACAGTATTTCGATTTCTCTCTTTTCCTCTCTCTCTTCAACACGCCGCGCGCAAAAAAGATCTAACCCTAGTTTTTGTTTTTCTTTCTTTTTTTTGAAAAAAAAAACAGTTGGCTAAAGGAGAGTGGGCTATAATATGGGTCAATATCCCATAATGGGCTGGGCCCAACAACTATAACCCGTTAGATTGTAAAAAAATCATTATATTTGGTCAATAATTCGTGGCCTAGCTAGACAATTGAACTGCTCATCCATTTGACCCATTTATTAGATCAACAGGTTTTATGTTATTTTATTTTTATGAAATTCTTTATTGTTATGACATCAGAGGTGATTGACTCTGATGGTTAAACTGGTAACTCGTCCACCTTCGGTGAAAACTGGCTCAGTTTAGGGATGTTAATGCAGTCTTGTTAAACGGTAAATACAGCTTGAGCCGATCCCTCAGTGTCAGTTTTCTACAAATATAGGATTCGTTTTGATTCTTTCATTCAAGTCCAAATTGGGTTTGGCTGATCTGCCCAATTGGGTCATGATACCTTATGTCGTTAGGGGTTGCAATGAGTCAAGCTTTTCATGAGCTATTCGAGCTTGGCTTGTAAAAAGCTCGGTTTAGCTTAGTTTCAACTGAGTTTGAACTCGAGTTCGAGCCCAATTCATTGGCTCGATTAGTAAACAAGCCAAGCTTGAGCCTACTAGAGCTCGGCTCGCGAGCCGGCTTGAATATATATATACATAATATTATAATATTATAATTATTATAATTCTTAATTTTTTAAATATCAAATAAAAAATATTTTATCTATAATTTT